TGTCTAACACCCTACCCTGGGGGGGGGGGGGAGGAGGTCATGATTTGAACAAACTTGATTGTACACTACCTGAGGATGCTTCCATATCAATATGACTGATCATGGCTTTGTTGTTCTTGAGATTGAAGAAGATTTTTAAAGATATTTCCTGTATATGTTCTATTGTAAAACTTTGATCCCCCATTATGGCCCCACCCTACCACTGGGGGATGCCTTAAACTAGCTTGAATCTACAATATTAAAGATATATTACAATATATTAAAGATTTTCCCTATATATTCCTATGTTAAAATTTGATCCCCCATTGTGGCCTCACCCTTCTCCCGGGGGTCATGATTTGAACAAATTGGAAGCTACACTTCTTGAAGATGGTTCCATATCAATATGACTAATTGTGACTCTGTTGTTCTTGAGAAGATTTTTTTTCTATATATTCCTATACAAAACTTTGATCCCTCATTGTGGCCCCACCCTACCCCCGGGGGTCATGATTTGAACAAACTTGAATCTACACTACCTGAGGATGATTCCATATCAATATGACTAATTGTGGTTCTGTTGTTCTTGAGGAGAAGATTTTTAAAGAATTTTCCTATATATTCCTATGTAAAAATTTGATCCCCCATTGTAGCCCCACCCTACCCCCAGGAGTCATGATTTGAACAAATTTGAATCTACACTACCTGAGGATGATTCCATATCAATATGACTAATTGTGGCTTTGTTGTTCTTGAGAAGAAGATTTTTAACGATTTTCCCTATATATTCCTATGTAAAACTTTGATCCCCATTGTGGCCCCACCCTACCCCCCGGGGTCATGATTTGAAAAAAATTGAACCTACACTTCTTGAAGATGGTTCCATATCAATATGACTAATTGTGGCTTTGTTGTTCTTGAGAAGAAGATTTTTTAAGATTTTCCCTATATATTCCTATGTAAAACTTTGATCCCCATTGTGGCCCCACCCTACCCCCCGGGGTCATGATTTGAATAAAATTGAACCTACACTACCTGAGGATGATTCCATATCAATATGACTAATTGTGACTCTGTTGTTCTTAAGAAAAAGATTTTTTTCTATATATTCCTATACAAAACTTTGATCCCTCATTGTGGCCCCACCCTACCCCCGGGGGTCATGATTTGAACAAACTTGAATCTACACTACCTGAGGATGATTCCATATCAATATGACTAATTGTGGCTTTGTTGTTCTTGGTAAGAAGATTTTTAAAGAATTTTCCTATATATTCCTATGTAAAAATTTGATCCCCCATTGTAGCCCCACCCTACCCCCAGGAGTCATGATTTGAACAAATTTGAATCTACACTACCTGAGGATGATTCCATATCAATATGACTAATTGTGGCTTTGTTGTTCTTGGTAAGAAGATTTTTAAAGAATTTTCCTATATATTCCTATGTAAAAATTTGATCCCCCATTGTAGCCCCACCCTACCCCCAGGGGTCATGATTTGAACAAATTTGAATCTACACTACCTGAGGATGATTCCATATCAATATGACTAATTGTGGCTTTGTTGTTCTTGAGAAGAAGATTATTAAAGATTTTCCCTATATATTCCTATGTATAACTTTGATCCCCCATTGTGGCCCCACCCTACCCCCGGGGGTCATGATTTGAAGAAACTTGAATCTACACTATGTAATGAAGGTTTCACATAAGTATAAACTTTTCTGGCTCAATGGTTCTTGAGAAGAAGATTTTTAAAAGATGACACCAAATTTTCACCAATTCTTAATTATCTCCCCTTGGAAGAGGGCGTGGCCCTTCATTTGAACAAACTTGAATCCCCTTCACCCAAGGATGCTTTGTGGCAAGTTTGGTTGAAATTGGCCCAGTGGTTCTGGAGAAGAAGTCGAAAATGTGAAAAGTTTACAGACGGACGGACAGACAGACAGACGGACTACAGACAAAATGTGATCAGAAAAGCTCACTTGAGCTTTCAGCTCAGGTGAGCTAAAAACGAAAAGCAATAGTAAGAACGGAATATTATTTGAAGGCGATAAATTCAATATTGAGGTGATCACGAAAATGATTTTATTTTTGTTTAATTTATATCCATTGGCAGATGTTAGGGAGGGGGTTTACGGTTGCAATCCTCATTTTATTTTAGTGAAGAAAAAAGAAAAGGGAAAGAAAGAAAATGAAAGAAAAAGAAAAAAGGAGAAGACAGAGTTGACAGTAAGTGGAATTCTGAGATTTATCTCATCTTTTTCAGCATAAGTTAATCGGTCTAAAATTAAGATTTTTCCCAAGAACACATTGAATAAAAATATTAGTGATAATATCCATTTGTTTTTAGTAAGAGCTTTGTTCAAAACATTCAGAACTATAAAATTTCAGTTAAGAATTCTCTCATTGGTGGCCAACACCTTCCCTGTACTGTACTTACAAATTTATGTGTACCCATAGATAAAATCGTTTGTATGAACTTGCTTTATAAGGCAATGAAAGTCTACAGGTATATGCTTAATTCAAAAATAAATAAATAAATAAATAAATAAATCGGATAAGGTTCAGAAAATTGATTTTGCTAATATTTTTTTTTATTATTATTATTTTTAAGTCTAACTTATCACTGATGCTTCTACAAATACCTAAGTCTCGTATGCCAATCAAATATGCACGTCTCGCGCGTGTGGCTATTCGAAATAATTAAATAGCACATATGGTTAATTTGTAAATAAGCAGGGAACGCATTCTTGGTGTTTTGTAAACAAGTGTAGCGGTATCACCATCAGTCTCGCCGCAGGAGAAGCGAGAACTCGACGGGGCGGCCATCATTGCAATGACGCCTCTTTGTTTTGTTAGCGATATACTGTTGATTTCTGCAACAGAAGCCGTCAGTTGATATGATAATACACAGTAACAGTACCCGGTTACATTTTTACTTTTATGCATGTATTATAAACATTTACATTTTTGCCTTTAGTCAAAGGGTTCCTCAAAGGTTCCGACAAAATCTCCGGTATTTAGCCTCCCCGTTTGTGTCTCTAATGATATCCGTACGGTCTACTTATGTTCAAATCCCTGATAATATACCATTAAACAAAGATCTAACACTTCCGCCATTTGTAAGAAAAACAGACATGGAACAAGTTCGAGAAATATTTTCGTATGAATCTCATTTAAACTAACCATATAACGCAACTTTTAAATAATATTTTCTTTTTATAAAGGTAAATCACATTTGATAAATCAGAAGAAATCAAACGAATTTTATTTGATGAACTAATGATGCGCACGAATGAGAAAATATTTAAATGTGTTTTAAAGTTTCTATTGACTTTGAACAAGTGCGCGAAATGGTTTGGACAATTCAAGACGCACCGACTACCTAATAAGTAAACCTATGTAAGTGGTCATGTGGTAATGTTGACACAGAGGATTACACGAGGTGAACTATGAAAGCAACAGGTTAATATTTGAATTCTTAACAAGAAATTTAATTTCATGTCATTTTTCAACCACTTTAGCCTATGGTAAAAAAAAAATGATACATTTTTTTCAGCATGTAAATGTATTTTAAAGCTAACTTTAATGGCATTTGTTCATAGTCCCTTAAAATCTATTAAATTTAAAACAGAAGAGGGGCAGTAAATATAAGCATGTGTTTACAAATTTAACGACACAAAATATAATTTAAGCGATTGTCACGGTAAAGTAAGTCATTAATGAAAATATATGTCATATATTCATTCTGCTTAATGAATATAGAAGATTTTTTTTATTTCATTCATTTTTTTTATTCTGTTATGAAACTGTGATTTACTCGAATTTATGGGAAATATTGGTGAATTTTGCACCCAAAAATAATTTACACAGTAGGGAATACGTCAGTTTGACCATGAAAAATTGAAAATTATTTGCCTAAAATTTTCACCTCTTGGCAGATGCTCTATGGGGATCTGGGAGGACATAGCCAAATTTTTCGGTACCTTACACCGCTGGGAAGCGCAGTGGGAGGGTAAAGTCTACTAGCTGAATTAATGCATGCATAAGTAATCAGCGCGTATTCGACCGGTGATTGGTTCCACTTCCGTGACGTCACGCTCTTTTCTGTAGTTCTTTCATAAAGCAGGAATAATTTTTATCCCCATCAAATTTGTGTGAAACTTGTAAACGGGCTGTGAAACATGAAAACTACTTTGTGAAATAAAAAGGTAAGATTTTCATTCTACTCATTCTTTTTGCCCCCCCCCCCCCCCTTAACTTTTTATATCCTCTACATTTATTACTAATTAGAATATTATCACAATTCGTCCCTATAAATAAAATTGTGTTTGTTATCAAAGTAAAAATGCAAATGAATTAGTTGATTCTCTGAATATTCTTTGTAAAATTCATTGTTATGAATCAGAACCTTTCTATGCACAGTTTTGATAATTAATTTTTATGCATGTATTTTTTTAAAGAATAATTTAAAATATTTATGGTCCTTAAAATTAATATTCAGAAATATTTCTTCACAAAAGTTTTTTTTTTTTTTTTTTTTTTTTTTTTTTTTTTTTTAATAAAACGTTTTCCTTAAATTGCATTTTGTTCATAGCTGTATCTATGTGGATAAATGAATTTCCTATCACACTTTTTTCACGCAAAATTAACAAGGTGTGTAAACTAACTTTACATCTTATTTACTAATTTTGCAACGATTCTTATTGTAAACTTTAATCGGGACGATATCTGTTTTTTTTTTTTTTTTTTTTTATAATATTTTGTTCAGCATCAACAGCATAGAGATGGGGAAAGAAAAAAAAAGTTTATCTTTTTTTAATGAAATGTACTAGTTCATTTTTAAGAATACAAACACATACAACTTACTCTATTTTTTCATGATTACATACTCTATTTTTTCACGATTTATGAAAAAATACTGTATAATATACATGTACCTGTATAACTTTTATAGACAAGTTTTAAAAATGTATATTTTCAGAAAATCCAGCATTTATATTTATTATTCAAGTGTAACCTGTGGGATGGAGGACTCTGAACAACAAGACTTGTCATCTTGTCCTCAAAAGGCGACAGTCAAAACGGAACCTAAACCCCGGGACCCAATCAGAGAGATTCTTGACAGTCTTTGCAATAAACCATCAAACCCTGACAAAAATGGAGAAAGCTCAACGGCGCTAGTTACTTCAAATGTCGATATGGACACGAGCGCTTTCACACCAGTTATGAAGTTTCATAGCTCTGTTCGCGGGGCCGATGTGCTGAAATCGTACATCCCATCTTCGGATCCATTTAAAATGAATTTCACAGACTGGTATTCACAACGTCTAAGACAATCTGTGCATCATCAGAACTTTCATCAGTACCCTTATTTTCTGAATTCTGTGCACCAACCAAACAACCCTTTTATTGGGTATTTCAGTGGTGTATCTTCTTGGCTCTGCAAAAGAACAGATCTAAATGCTCTCAGTTTTTGCAATTTAAACAAGTGCTCAACTCTGTCGATACCCGCTACACCGCGCTACCAGTGTGACCACTGCAAGAAGAGTTATTCAACATTTGGTGGCCTGTCCAAACACAAGCAGTTCCACTGCACCACTCAAGTCAAAAAGGATTTCAGCTGTAAATTTTGTGGCAAAACTTATGGTTCTTTGGGGGCCTTAAAAATGCACATTAGAACTCATACACTACCATGTAAATGCAAAATTTGTGGCAAAGCGTTTTCACGACCTTGGCTGTTACAAGGACACATGCGCACGCATACGGGCGAAAAACCGTTTTCTTGTGCTCACTGTGGTCGAGCATTTGCTGATAGGTCGAACCTTCGAGCACATCTCCAGACTCACTCAGACGTCAAAAAGTACGGATGTAAGTCATGCAAGAAAACATTTTCGCGCATGTCACTTCTGGCAAAGCATCGGGAAGGACGAATTTGCCAACTTCCGGTTCAGTGAATATAGTATCAATGTGTAAAATGTTGGACCAAAGATAATTTTTATATACTTGTATGTTTTTTTAGGTATACTTTATAGTAGTTGTACATGTATATCAAAATGTATAAGTTCCAATAAAAAGTTTAAAGTACTTGTATATGTAATATTGATTATTAATTATATTTTCATTAATAGTCGCCCGTCAGAGTTGTACATTAATGATTTTATGTATCGAATAAGTCACATTTATTGCTGATTATTAATATTTTCTCGTGAAATTGAATTAAAAGGTCGTCTATAAGTACCTTATTTTGAACAATATTTTGTATAGTAGTAGGTTAGAGTGTTTTCGTCACTTACTGTACGTAATGCATAGCGTTTTTGCAAGGAAACTAAATCGGTATTGACCGAATGAAGAACTCTTGTGTTTACGAGCAGGTAGATAACTTTTCCGAGAAAGGGTTTTAATGCTTACATTTTTTGGTACATTATAAAAGATCATTGGCTCCAATGTTTAAAAATGATAAGGTTATTGAAAATGGAATATAAAGACTGATCTTCTTTTCTATATCAATATTTAGCAAGAAAACATTGATGTTGCCATCAATTGTCGCCCGGGAAATAAATGAAGTAAAATCTTGATCATCAAACCGCTTCGATTTGTGTGATAAAAACATACGTCTGAATGATCGAGGCTATAGTCGAGAAAATTTACGGAAGGCTTCTAATTAGATGAAAATCGTGTTAAACTTTATCATTTCCTGAAGTAACTGTTGGCTGCATAAAATATAAATTAGAATCAGACACATGTATCACCTATCATCAAAAATATATATTTGACTTAATGAATATAAAACACAAACTGTGTTACGTACGTTTTTATGCGGTAAATAAAATTTAATTTTCTAAAAAAAAAAAAGGGGGGGGGGGGCCTGTCGTTTTGTCGATAATAAATGATAAGCAACTTTGTATATTACATATGAAAAACATATATTTTTAAAGATGTACTTCATGGAAGTAAATAGATTGTGTATCTCGTAATTTATAAAGGGAAAGAAAATTTTGATGTATAATCTTTTTAATGCCTAGTTAACCTTTAATTCTGAATAACTTCTCCCACCTCAATCCCATACAACATAACTTAAACGTACATGTATAGTGCAGCCCGGTCATCCGGGCTGCAATAAAATAGAGGAATAGTGCAACTTTAGGCTATAATATTATCTGGGTTGTGTATTTACTAATGCACCTACTTCATACTTCACTGTATTGTCGAATTTATGTATACTCGACAAGAAGCACTAGCTGGTTCACTGCATATTCAAGGGAAATAACTCAGAGGGGATACTTAGAGGAAATCAAATCATTTGTTTGGTTATTATCGAAGTTAGAGTTACCTCTCTTATCAAAGACACAGAATGAAACATTTAATTAGTTCCAGTTATATAAAGGAAATTCAATATTTTGTAGTTAAATCTGGAATTTAATTAACGGGACAATTAATAATAATAATAATAAATTAGTGGGACAAGATTTTTTTTACGAGTACGAAGCACGAAAGAAAAAAAAAAAAAGAAAAAAAAAATTCGGTCTCACGAGTTAAATAAGTTCCATATCCAAATACAAAACATTGGATTTTCTGTTTATTAAATTTTCTTTGGTTTTCCTTTTGTCCCGATCTCCTTTTAACGCACTTGTACTTCATACAGTGTCAACTCTTCAGGACTACAAATAATGCCACGTACTGCCACATTTTTTTCAAACACGGATAATAGGCTTGCGCGAGTAATCGGTTTTCTATGATTTCAAACTGAATGCTTTTAAATACATGTAATTTATGAATAAAAAAAAATAGTATCATCGTCGCTTGATGTATTATGATAGGTGACAAATAAGATGTATGAATGGTGGCAATAAGTGATGATTTCATTTTTTAAAAATCGGGTGTTGTAATGGCCTCGTCCATGAGTTTTTAAAACAGAACGAAGTTTTAACATTTAACGACTATACTTAATGAATTAAAGGAAGATCTAACCAATAATTGCAGACGGATTAGTAATTTGTTGATGACTGTACGAATTGCATCAAGAGAGAAGACAATTTTCAGTGTAAAAATGGTTTATTCACTATCGCTATTTATCAGAAGTGTGAAAGGTTAACCGTGAACTTATTAGTAGTACATGTACATGTATATTCACCCTTTTGATGAAAATACATGTAACAACTAGAAACAAAATTAATTAAATAATAAATTACAGTATTCACTGTCAAAAGTATGTAATATATAAATGTATGATTTTTTTTATACGTGTATATATAAAATATTAATAAGTTAATTCTTATACAACGCACACTTTATTGATAGACTCAGACATTTCTTAGTACCCCGGCACATGCCAATATAAGCTGATTCTGAGATCCTTTTCAACTTTGTTAGAGTTTGTTGACAAACCCATTAGTAAATATTCAATAAACGATCTTTCCTTAGTTGCTGAGGAAGTCTGCATAGAGGTTGACTTTGTGTTGGAACAATAAAATTTAAGACGACTCGCACGAATTTTATCTTCAAAGAATCTAAATCTGTTTTTATTCAATAACTGAACATGTTTCGTGTCCATTGTCTTAGCAACAGTGAACATGTACAAGGTTTCATAGATTAAGTTAGCAGGATTTCTCCATCAGCGATTTGTGAATTCCAACAGCAAAGTTTCTGTAGTAGTAAAATTTTCCATCATTTTTTTTCAATAAGTTGAGTATATCACATATTCTCATATTTTATTTTTTATTGTACAATGTCTATATATAGCATATAACACTCGTCCTAAGTGCGGTGTCGTTTTATTTCAAAATGTCACGGTTTATTTTTATTTTTTTCTTTCCATTTTAATGATGATTCCTGGTATAAATCTCGACGTAGTATCATGCTGTGTTATGGAATTTACTGGTTTGAGGTAGATACAAATTAAAAAACATGATTCATACCTCATTTATAAATTCATGATGTACATTAATAAATCTTGAATTTACCCCCACCCCGAATAATCAAAATTCACACACGATACTAGATTGCCTGGATAGGATAGTGCCTGTGTTTAATGAATGATCGGTACATGTACTTCAGATAATTTCTAATGTGATGCCTGATTTAATTTAAATAACTCATCCATAATGTGTTTTTATGTTCCATTACCTTTGGTCAATTGTATTGTTAGCTCATCTGAGCTGAAAGCTCAAGTGCATTTTGTCTGTAGTCCGTCTGTCTGTAAACTTTTCACATTTTCGAATTCTCCGGAACCACTGGACCAATTTCAACCAAACTTGCCACAAAGCATCCTTGGATGAAGATGATTCAAATTTATTCAAATGAAGGGCTACAACCCTTTTTTAAGGGGAGATAATTTAGAAATGGTGAAAATTTGGTGGCATGTTTTAAAAATCTTCTCAAGAACCACTGGGCCAAAAAAGTTGAAACTTATAGAAAATCTTCTTTACATAGTGTAGATTCAATTAAGTTTGTTCGAATGATGACCCCTGGGAGCCAAAATGAGGATCAAAGTTTTACTTAGGAATATATAGTAAAAAATCTTTTAAAAATCTTTTCAAGAACAGCAAAGCCTTATTTAGTCATATTGATATGGAATCATTCTCAGGTAGTGTAGATTCAATTTTTTTTTTCAAATGATGACCCTCGTGGGTAGGGTGGGGCCACAATGGGGGATCAAAGTTTTACATAGGAATAAATAGGGTAAATAAACTTGAAAAATCTTCTCAAGAACAGCAAAGCTATGTTTAGTTATATTGATATGGAAGAATCCTCAGGTAGAGTAAATTCAAGTTTGTTAAAATGAGGACCCCCGGAGGTAGGGTGGGGCCACAATGCGGAATCAATGTTTTACATAGGAATATTGAAAAACCTTCTTATCAAGAACAGCAAAGCCATTTGTTATATTGATATGGAAGCATCCTCAGGTAGTTTAAAATTCAAGCTCTCCCATCCCCGCCATGTTAACTTTTCAATACTGAAGTGATTTGTGCTTTTCCCCAGCCGATGTGCTCGGGTGAGCGATGTGGCCCATGGCCCTCTTGTTATATAAACTTTCAACTGTAACCGTATATCTCCTTCCAATTTAATGCCTCTTTGTAATAAGAGATGAAAACACCTGTGCATACAAATATATCTTTATTTTGTATGGAATTTTATATGTCATATAATATATTAATACAACATACCCTCGGTTTTATAAATTTACAAACATGATGCCCTATAGCACCTGTCATACTGTATATTTCGAATTTAGTACATTTGTATATGGACGTAAATATATACATGTTACGGTGTATAACGTAGAAAATTCAGAATTTACAGTGTGACATTACATTGTAATAAAATATCCTCGGTAAACCCGTATGTGATGAAAATGAAACAAAATGACAAAAGAAATATTGGTTTGGCTTTGCAGCTTGGACAATGTAATATGCAAAAAGCATCAACATTATATTAAAATGCACTGGAGTGCGCGTTCCTATCAATTTTACCGAAATTTTCAGTAAATATAAAAATACGTAATACCTGTAATAATAACACAGTATTTTTATATTCACTGAAAATTTCGGTAAAATTGATACGCGAACTCCTGTGTGAAAATGTGACAACAAAGAACTTTTATTAGATGATAAAAAAAAGTACACCAGACAAGAGCTGGCATAATATTCTGACGTAAATTAAGAAATAGGTAGTCACTATATGTCAACGCATAACTACGCTCATGTTCAAAGCAATGGAAAAATGTGTTGCATACGATGATATTCCTTACTGATATGGTTTGTAACTGCATATTTTTGACCACGTGATTTCAGTTGAAAATATGGTTGAGGTTATTTAAAAACATTAGAATAAAACAGGAAAATCGAAATATGCACTGAACAAAATTTTATATCATCGAAAGACGCCATTGGCCACACGTGACACGTTGTAAATTTTGAATAGACTGGTTGGAAATAAAAGTAAATACATGTATTTACAATACAGTTATATTAAAATTACGTCCAACCAGTACCTATTTCAGAAATTTACAGGATGCGCCTTTCAGTCGAAAGGATGAAATCCGATAACATTGCCAAACTGTGTTTTTAATGAATTTAATTTCTTCTTTTCTTCTGAAATCTGATGTTCAATTTTTTAATTATCACAATAACTGACCTGAAATCTGAAGTTTTTAATTTGGTAATTATCGTAAATTCCTCTACAATGCATATAAAGAAAACTAGCCACCGTCTAACGACATTATTTGACACAAAGACATATTTACTGTAAAATTTGATTTAGTATAATGGGACTTTGTTGTTTTGTTTTCAACATGTTTTTGCTCAAAAAAAATTTATCCCTAAAAAATATCAATATTTAATTAGCAAAATACTTGTCTAGTGTAAAAGTAAATTCCTTTTTTCTTTTGGTCGAAGATCACGTATGTAAAAATTTGGACCAATTGTTGCCAGTGATTTCTTGTCTGATATATATACAGAAAAGAAAAACAACGAAATAATCAGCTACTGCATGAAATACAAAAGCATATATAAAAGCAAATTTACAAATTTCATTTTTGACAATGGTAATAAAATGTAACCACTGAAGTACAATTGAAGAATATAACGTCACAACTCATACAAATTCTCGCATGACTTGTCTTTTTTACTGTGTTTTCTGAACAGCTTTGTAAGAATTCCTTTGGCAATTCGAAAGGAGCCCCTTCGGTGTTCCTTGTGGGTTTTGTGCGCTTCATGTTCCTCAACTGCTTCCGGGTCATGTTTAAGCCGAATTTGACTGAGCACACCGACCAGAAGTTCATCCACATGGTGATTCAGGGCCGCTGATGTCTCAGCGTATTTGCTATCGTACTGGTGTGCTGCCGCACGAGCTTCTGCAATTTCAACAAAGTGTAATATTATATGGAATTTTTATTCATTATCAGTAAAGTAGCCCTTTGAACGCTGACACAAGGCAAAACACAACTTGCATGTAACATGTATTAGCAGCCCCGAAGGTCTCGCGTGATGTACCGAGACTTGTGCTTGCCCCCCCCCCCCCCCCAAAAAAAAATGGAGAGGGCTACATTATTGCAGCTACCTCGATTCACACCTGATTTTAATTATCATACACTTTTGTCGGTGTCAGTGAGATCTAGCTTCGAAAATCATTTGATAACTTCAATCATATTTTCTACCGATTCGCAGATGCCGTTTTAAACCTAAAACGTCCTCTATAAATAGCAACGGTAGGCTATACGCTGTTTCCTGCATATTCGAAACACTTCTACGTTTTTCATAGTTAGAATCCACAACTTCCGTTGCTTTGGAAATACTCCAAAATTTAGAACAAATGCATAACCTGGCATTTAATTGATAAATAATTAAGTGGGATGAAATCTCATTGAATGTGTATGCAATTCATCCAGATCCTCTAAAATGTAATATTCCGATCGATAACTTATATTGAGGCAAACACAAAACATTACACAAGAGGAAAGGATTAGGACATGTAAAACACAACTGCATCATTTTCCTTTGAATTTTGGACTTTTTAATGTAGGAAATGGAACAGATATGTACACAAGTAAAAAACTTCATGCACGACCATTTTTTTTTTAAATAATGAATTATTTTTTTCTAAATGAGGTAAAAATAAAATTCTTGCAAAGATTTAATTTTTTTTTGTCCATCGTGTTATTGTTAATATATCATATATATCACAGAGTAAATGATTTGAAAAAGTATATTGTTGGTATATATAAACACGTTACATAATATCAAACGAAAACACTAGTAATACGAGAAGCTTTCCTGTAAGCGTTGTCAGATTCTGAGAATGGAGCCAACTGTGTTTGGTCGTAGCCAATCACATAAAAAACGAAAAGAAAACCATCACAACATAAGAATTTGTCTGACTGATAATGTGCATTGCCCTATGACTTTTCATTTTGATGCAGACATACACGTCTTTAACAGTATTGTAAATGCTATTTATAATAGCAAAAACTGTGGTTGATGAATTCACGCAAGCAGGAAAATGTGAAATTATTTACATAAGGCATCAAGTTAAAGTCAGTGGCTTTTGTCATGCGAGAAAGCATCGCAGGCATAAAAAGATTAGAGGTACCGAAAAAATATATGTAAAGATTTGCATATATGTAAAGTGTGCGGAAAAAGTTGAAATGCAATGTTTCCATTTGCTTATATACCTAGGTCAGCAGATTTGTAGCTACTAAGAATTTTATATATATATATATATATATATATATATATATATATATATATATATATATATATATATATATATATATATATTCAGAATCCCGCAATTCAAATGCAAACTTAACATAATAATATACATGTATATGTATTTCTTCTCAAACAAACCTGTTGCTTTTTCCTAGAAAAAACGTACCCTCTGAAGAAATGACCCTTTTTCTGACAATATCAATTTTGTTGGCGACCAGAATAACTGCTTTCTGGGAACAGAGCTCATGTCGAATCTGAAACAAAGTCTCGACCGCCATCTCAAACGTTGACCGGTCGTTGACGGAAAAAACAACAAGGTAGGCATCAACTTCATGCTCGTTTACGTCTTCCTGTGAACAATAATAATGTGGTTGATTTTAATGGTACACTAACTACGGAAATCATTTATGGAATTGGTAAAAATACAGAAAGTTGTCAAACCGTAAAATTTATTCCATTTTCAGACATACTAAATTAATGCGTATATAAAGTTTGCAAACCCATGTATACTTACACTGAATTTATTTTCAAGATGTAAGGTATAGTGTTTTTAATTGAATTGTTTAGGGCTTGTGCTAAAAGGTATGAAACTAAAATATCATGTATAGAAATGAAACATCTTGATTTGTTCAAGACTATTTTTTAGAAGTTTAAAATAGAGAATATACCAGAGTGTTCAAATTAAACACCGAAACTCTATAAAAAGATCCACGATAATTCAATTCAGTAATATGTTGACTTACCGATAATTGGTCTAACAGGCCCGTAGAACGCGGGGCCCTTTTTCTGAGTATAGTATTATGCTATTAGTAAATTTTCATTTAGATGCTTGTTGGCCCCCTACTTTTTGTTGATATAAGGTCGAGGATTTTGAGAGTTGATGTTTTTTTTTGTTTTGTTTGTTGTTGTTGTTGTTGTTGTTTTTTGTTTGTTTTTGTTTTGTTTTGTTTTGTTTTGTTTTGCCTGTCAGATTTCTTTGGGAGGCCCCCCCCTTTTGAAACCGTTGCTACTGGCCTGTCTTATACATTATTTGTTGCCCATCCAGAATTTTCTCCTCAATTTTAACTACGCTTACTACATGTATATGATACTTTTAAATTTAGGAGAAAAAGTGGAGTAGAAAATCACTGGAATATTTAAACATACAGAAGTGCTGCGTTTCGCTCATAATTTTTCTCATATCAGTACTGTATACTTTATTTCGTGTATTTGTAAATCAAGGTTGCAATGAACCAAGTAGATCGTTTGTCATATACTCGTAAAAAGGCTAATTTCATGAAAATACTAAAGGTTTGCGAAAAGATAAATGACAACGATTTTGCGTGAGCACAAACGAAAGAAAATGCCACGGCAAAAATGTGTCTCTTGTTTACGTGAGAAGAATTTACCATAAAAATCACGTGATTTTCAACGTGTTCGTGTGAATTTGAAATTTACTTGAAAATATTCTGGTGTGTTGCGCATTATGCTCTTTTCATTCACGTCAAACACATTTGTAAATGCAAAAAAAGTTTGTTTATTTCTTTTATAGTTTTTGTTTTGCTGAGAATGACATCTTCTGGGATTCATATACATACATTTAAAAACTCCTGTACTGGTATATCAACTGTTACAATTGTTCTTTCAAAGAGTTTCATTTCCAAATTGCCTGCGACCAAGACCATAACTAAGGTTAATCGCGATCGATCAAAGTAGAGGATTCTGAAACATTGTCGATGCGTGTAAATTATTATTGTGTAAATGTTTTGTTACAAAGTTATGTTATTGTGGAAAAAGCCCATTAAATTAACTCAACATTTTCATATTGAACAGGAAAATTACTAGTATGTCAAATATATTTTTAAATGTAGGAGTGACATTGAAGGACAGATGATACAAACAAACTTTTTTTTCAAAAAATATTGAAAATAACAGCTTAAGTCATGTTTATATGTAAAATGAATAAGTTAAGCCGCATGGATTTTAATTTTTCAAGTTTCACAATAATAACCTATAAAGTGATAAAAATATATAGAGATTTATAAGGGTGCTGGCAGAAACATAGGACAAGGCCATTTTAAATGAAAAATATTTTTGCACTAAGTAACTTCCAAAAAGAACCCAGAGAACTTAAAGTACGGGAAAAATCCCTTCCAAACTTAACAAACACACAATAAATTGAACAGTTCAACCACCGAGATTTCGAAGATAAAAAGAACGGAAGCTATGCCCGGCTGTTAATGGACTGCCCTGTAAATTTACCTCTTCTCTGGAAGGATCTATAAATCGGATTGTGGATTCTTCGCCATCTAGCTGTACCGTCACTGTTTTATCACCTCCTAGAAAAATAAAGTCATCTCTTTATTCCGTAAATAATTCTGCTTTTCGAATTTTAAACACAACTGCAAGTATATCTGATGATAAAATGGAAATACCCTCTTTTTACAGTCGGCAGTTTGTCCATACATTTAATTAAACAACTTTTTACATATCTAGGCACGGATTGAGTAAAATTTCATACCTTCCATTTGAATCTTTTGAGAAGATAATATTTCACCAATATCCGCAATGTAACACGCGGCAAACTTGAAATTAAAGGAGTTTGCTTATCAAACTGTATGATTATTACTTGAAAATAAATGTCAAATGAATTGAAGAAGAACGAAAAGGAATGTTTGAGTTATCCTTCCCCCCCCCCCCCCCAAAAAAAAAGTTTCTAAAATTGCATTTAACATAAAGACGTCGCACTTATGTTTGTAGAGAGACAAGTTATGTAATGGAGATTCAATTTATTGAGAATGTTTTAATTTGAATGGAAACCCAACTTTCTGAAATGAAAGTCTGATGGTTTTTTTGAACGGTTTCAATTCAGTTTTGTATAAAAAACGAGAATAAGGTATAAATTTCAGTTTAACACGATAATAAATTGTGTTTTTTTAATGCCCCCGTAATCGAAGATTCGTTAGTTTTTACACTGTCTGTCTGTTTGTCCGCAAAAAACTTAAACCTTAGGCCATAACTTTTGATTTGTTGGAGCTATGGCTTTCATATTTCACATGTATATTCCTTGTGACAAGACCTTTCTTTGGGTACCGACGCATTTGAATTCTTGACCTTGGAGTTTGACCCACTTTTTGCAAAATTTAACCACACTTTAACCTTGGTCATAACTTTTGAATGGTTAGTGCTAGGGCTTTCATACTTCACATGTGTATTTCTTGTGATAAGACCTTTTGTTAGGTACAACTACTAGTAATTTTGACCCTTTGACCTTAACCTTCTTGGAGTTTTACCCACTTTTAAAAGAAACTTTAACTTGGCCATAAGTTTTGAATGGTTGGAACTAGGACTTTTATATTACACGTGTATTCCTTGTGACAAGACCTTCCCTTAGGTACCAACAATTTTGAACCTTTGACCTTGGAGTTTGACGCACTTTGGAAAAACATTAACCTGTGCCACAACTTGTGAACGGTTTGAGCTAGGGTTTCATATTTCACAGGTATATTCCTTGTGACAAGACCTTCCCTTGGCTACCAATAATTTAACCCTTTGACCTTGAAATTTAACCCTTTAACCTATTTTTCAAAAACATAAACCTTGGCTATAACTTTTGAACGGTTGGTGCTAGGGCTATCATATTTCACATGTATATTCCTTGTGACAAGACCTTTCTTTCTTTCTCTCGATCGATCGATCCGGAAAAATACTGTAGAGCGGAGAACTTCGGAATCACAGGCACTTGACATATTTTCTTTAAAGAATTAATAACCCTATACCTAATAATTAGTAGGCATGGGGTTATATTTTTATTTATGAAAAATATGTAACGTCAAGTGCCTGTGATCGGGACGCTGATGGCGACGTTCAACCATAACAATATGGAAAATCAATTTGTAAAATGGGATTTCTCTTTAGATAATTCATTGATGAAAACATAACAACCTTTACATATTTTATCGCAGAAATGTGTTAGTATTGTTTCTTAACAAGCCTGGCGGTCTGTAATATTTTCTTTGTTGATTATCAACGTTAAATTATTTTCTTGCACTCCACCAGTTGGGCTTATTATTCTCTTTTTGGAAGAAAATTGTCTTTTTCTTTCATAACCATATAATCTTTTCATGGCAAACCGACATTATCTTTTGTATTCTGAAGTCCTGTATGCAGCCTTCAAACAAAAAACGAAGAAAATAACTGGTAAAAAGATAATAATGATCTTTAAAAATTGCATCATGGCTTCCATCAGCTTTGTATTCTCTTAAGCTCCGAGCTCATATAATGGATATCTTGCATGCTAAATGTCAAAACATCACGCAAGTTCAAACTCTAAAAAAAATTGAATACTAATTAATTTGGCCACTGATTAGTTAAGAGAGAAAAAAATTATTGATTAGGGTTTCAAACTGAAAAGTAATTACTTCGGAGAAAGTAGACCAAGTGCAACAAAAATAAAAAAATATCGTCTTTAGAAATTGTGTAAGCTAATGGTTAAACATATTCCACGGCTTTTCTCGTAATTAAATGTGTCACAGTTTTCTTGTCTGCAGGCAGATCGAACGCCAATCAATAATCCGTCCAAGACACAGAGTGATTTTGTCGGAGATTAACGTAGTGGACGATATGTGGCTATGCAGAACCAAAAGTGGGTAGACATATTGTCCTTGAAAATCAAGGTCAAATCTACGTCATGATGTTGATGCATTGCGAGGATACAGTTTCTATAATTAAAACTAATTGATGGTTAAAATGAGGCTGTGCAGAATTTTCGTTAATAAAAGTCTTTGATTTTATTCATAAAATACTGTATTGAAGTACGTTTATAATATATTTGTAATCTTATCATCCCCTTGTGTTCTTCGTGGCCTGTTGTTCCACTTCTTTTTTATTTTAGAAATAAAATTAATCTATTAATCTAAGTAGATACTTAATTTTTTTTCAATATTGAATGATTTGGAATTTTATAATTTGACCTTACAGTACCTAACAGTCAAAATGTACACGAAGAAAATTGTATACAGTTGAACTTCGGTATCTCGAACACGAATATCTCGAATACTATGGACCATGGATATGTCGAAGTGATTTTAAAGTCCCAATAGCTTTTATTCTCAAGTATTTTACCATGGATATATCGAATCCTCGGATATCTCGAAGTACATGTATTTTCTTGGTCCTGTGAATTCGAAGCTCGAGATAACGAGATCTGACTGTACTTTTGGCATTTTTGTGCAATAACTCTTACCATAAAATTAATTCGTTTCTAAGCTGATTGATACAGAGTTACAAAAACGTTTAAAGGCTTAAACTCATAGGGGTAAAAATGTAAAATACTACGGGAAAAGAACAAAAAAATGAGGGTAGAGCTGCAGCTTTATTGTAGGGGATTTGAAGAAGGTTCTCGGCGAAAGACTGTGGCGGCTTAAGCTTCTGTTTCTCAATTGAATAAAAATATTTAGTCCCAAAATTTTTCATTTTCTAACTTAGAAATTCAATTTTCTTATGTTTACAATAAAGGTTTTGATTTATAAGCCATCATATTTTTTTTTTAAATTGTTGCCATTGACTATGGTAACATTCGTAGAAATATTTCTCCCAATTCTCTGTTCATTCTTTATTGCAAGAAAGTCAATCAAGGTACCACATTCCCATACTTTAAAATGTAAAAAGGAAAAAGCTAACATTCATATTTAATCGACCACTTTGGAAAACACAAATAAGCGCACAATATCTCATTTATTTAGCTACTGACGTATAGTAATTTTTCCTATTACATTTATTACTTCATGCAAATCAGTTATTTTAAAAGAATATGAGAACTGTAACTGATTAAAATTTGATATTCTGAATTTTAAAAAAAGTCAAGCGGTTTTATTGTTAGTAATTTGTAGCTGCACCATCTGTATAATCAATACCTCCCTGAATGGTAACATCTGGCACCTTCATAGGCCTATTATTTTACTGCACTTTTTACACGATGTAAAGTGAATCAATTACCATTCGTGGCACATCCAACCATGAAACCGCATCCATGTATCTTATTTCTAACGGATATTCAATTGAAAACAAGATAATACAACTGAGATTCCTTCATTTTTTGAGGACCAAGTCTGCATGTAGATTGACATATTTCAATACATGTGTATTTAATATTTTATTCACGAACTTCTTCTTTATGAATTACAAATATTGTAACAGTACAAACACTATTTCTTGTTCGGTGTACAGAAAAATGAGGTCCAAGCTGACGGATAGAATGCAAAGGCCAATCTTCTATTGATCTCGGGGCAATATCCGTAGCCAGATGTGACAATGGAGCTCTTAGAAATGCTTAAGCTCGTTATTTCAGCGTTTAAAGAAGTTTCAATCGCATAATCACTGAAGAAAGACCCTTTTTAGAGGCGCAATTTATTTGGTGTTAATGGAAAGCTGTAACGAGGAAAAACATCCGATCGATTAAGAACAAAACAAAGTTAGTCAGAGAGGGATGCCGTATAAATCTAACGATAATTTTCTGGTATAAGAGAGCATATATAAACAGTGTGTTTAAGCGCACCCTGTAGGGAGAATTTTATATTATACACTGTGGACTTTACATTATTGATGCATGCTTCTAATATCGTCTGATGGATTATAATTGATTGTTGAAGAACTTTGAGTTTAGAAGCAAAAACGGGGTGAAATAAAGACGAATATATACAATTCCACGTAGATATTCAATTATTTATATGTATATATATGCTGTGAATGCTGAGCCAAAATCCTGAAACACTTTCGAAAAAAAAAGCAATTTTTAATTTGCATTGACAGAGAGAATGCGTCATTCAATATGCGTACATTTAATGTCATACTAGTATTTTCATGATTATATCCCAGTAAATCTAATAAAGTAAATAATAACGATCTTCGATGGTTGTAATCCCAATCAAGGGAAAACAAAATAACAAAGATCGTCAATTCTGCACGAAGCATATGTTTACGTTATTAGTTTTTTTCCTCACAAAAAAACAAGGAAATGTCAATTTTCTTTAGAGGGCATGGTAAAGGAAGAAAAATTACTAGAAAATACATGGCTTTTGTTTGATCCCCCCCCCCCAAAAAAAAATTATCTGATTTATCTGCAAGGGCATGTAACTTAATCGATTTCTGTCAAAGTCGTTAATCATAAAAGCAGAAATACTTCATTTTAAATTCATACCAATTGCTTTCACTGAGATTATTAGGTCCCGCTGCATTTAGTAGCGTCACATGATCAATTAAGGCTAGCATTCTAGTGCATACATGTTTTACTTGGAAGCAATTGAACTTTTATCAAGTTTTTTTGCTGTATAGGAAACTTTGGTCCACAACTGTTCACATCTCTGTCGTCTCGCGATTGATGATAATCCTTTAATGGTTCATGCACTTAAGTGGTGAAATGAAGAAAAGGAGCAAAATACCCTCATCCACTTGATATCCTAGCATTCCAGTCTATAATTATGAAATCATTTAGGGCTTTGGTGAGGAATTTACAACAATAGACCAATGCAATGGCATATTATCTTTCCATTATCCCTTTCCTCTCCACGTACAATCGATCAACCCCATCAAATGGTGTGTTCAAGATAATATGCTGCATATCATAAATCTCAATTCATTCCACCGGAAGGGAATTTATAATGATTTTACGACAAATGCACTTGCCATTTTCAAACCTTGTGTACATTTATAGTAGTATTTCAGAATTTTGTTTATAGTTGCAAAATGAAAGGAAATCTCCCTAGCAGAGCCGTGGTTCGTCCCACCCTCAGAAACCTCTGCAATGGGCTTTTCACATAAAGTGAAAAACATGACATTCTGGGGATTATTTCAAATCAAATTAATAGTTCTAGACATATTTAGTAAATATCTACCTTAAAGGACAAACGTTAGCGCTGGCATTTAATCATACTGTTACAATGAATTAAAACAAACGCATTATTTCTCGTGTTTATCACTTTGCATGATATACGCGAGCCATCGACAGAGGTTAATGTATGAGCCGATGGCAAAGAGTGACTTTGTTACTCACCGTCGCCATCAGATGACGTTCCAATGTACTCTGACGTCATAAACTGTGTTGTCAGAAGAGTTTTGCCAACACCAGCAGGCCCTAACACAACAACAGTAAAAGGCACATTCTCTGTCTCTTCATTTTGGCCAACACATTCTAAATCTGAACTGGATACATGCCGAACTTCATTGTCTGATGAAAAACTGTTAGAAGCATGTAGGTGATCTTTGTACCTATTGCGTTTGACGCTGTCACCACGATTAACAATACCACCTTTGGATGTTGTCTTGAAAGATCGTACCCTGCACAGTGCTCCTTTAGATTCCTCATCTTCGCCGTCTGCAATATTATTAGGAGAATGTCCGCGATGTGTATGATGGTGAGAAGGCATGCTATTCCTCCGAGGACGGAATTCATGTTCATCATGTTCCTTCGGTCGAGGTCGACCCTTAAAGGACCTCGATCTGGTATGGTGTCCATGTTCCTCGGCCACATTTGGTGACAGGAAGCGGTCACTATGATCCATTGTAAAGCTCCTCTTGCTGCACTTTTTAATCCATTTCCTCCGTCTACAAAGTCATTTTGCTTGAAGCAACTCTCGCTAATACCATGAGGTCCCTGGCATTTTCTTTTATATTTGCTTGATCTAATAAAGATATTGATCACTGTTGTGTTTGTCACGTGTAAGACTTTGTATCCAATCAATCAGTTCAATATGTTAACCTTTTTGCCATGACTCGACTGATGTGAATGAAGCTGAAAATGAAAATTCAAATACCTTTATTATGGGAATTTTACCCTGACGTTTTGACATACAACAGAGCTGTATCAAATGACAGACCTTTTCGAAACGAGATAACAACGCTGGTATCGATTTGAAACTACCCTGGGTATATTTACCGAGTTCCTTTTGGCAGAAAAGCTACGCCAGATAGTTGTTCGAACATCAATATCTTTTCGGAAACCATTAATTTCATCTATATTTCACACTCTATCGTATGCATTTGTGGATTGAGGAGGTCTTACAAATTTACAATGTTCCAATAATGAAAATACTCACCACCATCAATTGTCGCTCTGGTAATGTTTCTCGAAGAGCCTGGAGACAAATAGTCGTCCAGGGCCGATTGTATTACAGTTATGGTGCAGATTAAATCGATAAAAGTGTAGAGTGGACTCTTGGGACCAGTTTGGAGCTCAGTATTAAAATGAAACCGTTCCATCACAATATTGTAGTTAACATAAACGTTAAGGATCTGTTTATGATTTCCGTGTATATGGATTCAGAATAATACAACGTATTGTTTGTGCGACACAGCTGTGCATGTGATAATGTCACCAGTTTTTGGCATATAGAATGTCGTAAATAGTGCACCGTTTAATTATTTATTATGGCGAACGAAATCCTCTCGCAAACATGATCTGACGTTTTACTAGATTGAACTGAATGAAGCATGTTACCCCTTGAGAATCCTTGATCACTCTGACTGCCCTGTCAATCAGAGACTATCTGTCATTGACATTATTTTTTAAATCAATCCATTCAAAATGAAATTCTGGAAACAAATAGTGCGTCACTTTTAGCTCACCCGTCATAAGATTATATGACCTTCTTTTATCAAGATATCTTACTAAGTACATGTATCTTGGTCGTAGCATCTTCGCTAGCCAAGGATTTCTAATCCGCTACTCTCCTTACAAACCCTTGGCCTACGGTGCTGTCAAAAACTGGGATTGTTTACGTCACGTGATCTTGAATCTTCCCACATACGCACAGATTGCGTCATGACAAAAATAAAAGGCATATTTGATTGCGCCCATGACAAAAGGGCCTTATGGCAATTTTGCTAAAACAGAGAAATAACGTCATAAAGATATGACGTTGCAGACGGTGAGCGTCGACGCAGATTTTTTTTATCCACGTGTTTTACGTTTTGACACGTCTAGCTCACTTTTGTCGTTGTTCTCAACATTGAAATAATTATTTATTTTCATTTATATCTTTTATTTACGTCTTGATCTTCTAGTCCACTGATAGTAATTAAAATATTTAGAATTTTATTCGAGACCCGTTTCTTTACTACATGTTATTGTAGCTTTATACGTCTCTGATCTGGGCTATGCATGTCCTATACATGTATAGAAGCTTCAGACAAGGTGATTTTCTGGATAATTGAATATGGATGAACGAATGCGATTTTGATATATAGACAAATTGAAGTTATTTGTTAAAGACGGGTATATTATCAAAATATTGCAGAGGAAATCGTTTTCCTGTATAAGATCCGCCCCACCATTCTCAACACATCGATCATGTAAACATTGAAGCATTGGTACATCGTGCATAAATTTTTGCTGTAAAATGCTTTAATTGCCAAAAATTTGAAACTGATCACACTTCTTCCAACAGAAAAGAATTTTAAGTATTCTTGTAAGTTTTCACAAATCTAGCAAAAGTACGAACGAATGACAGACGTGATATTATTTTTAAGAACTATAAATAAAAACAAGAGAGGTAACTCTGACAAGCGAGATACTAGAGAGGTACCAGAGAGGGACTTTCTTTTTTTCTTTTTTTTTTTAACACCATTCAAAATCAACATACTCATACAAATTTGCTCCCGTAGTATAAAAAATATTTTTAAAAATCTTACTTATCATCAGATAAAAAAACGTTTTAATTATAAGTATTATATTTATATTTTCTTTAAAAGTATTTTTGAAAGCTCATGGAACTAGCTGCTGTCAAAGTGAAAGAGAAAAAAAATATAGAATAAGAAATAGATGCTACCATACTTTCATTTATTTTTTAAATCCGTTACATGTGCATCTATTTATTTTAACATGAAATTATTTTTTTTAAAATAACTTGAATTTTTTTTTCCAGTAATAATGATCATAAATTTAAATAAAATAAAATGAAATTAAACAAAAAATTGTTTCGTCTTATTTTTGTTGTTGCCGCTTCCGATGTAAGTACTTGAAAACAAACAAAAACTACCGAATGAAATAAAATTGTTCTAATTGTTCTAGCTTTAAAAAAGTTTACATGTATGTATACCTGATGTGTATGTGAGAGAGGGAGAAAGAAAGAGAGAGAGAGAGGGAGGGAGATGTTACATTAAATCCAGTTTATTAATACAATGTAAAATGTAAAACTTTAATGAAAAGGCGAATTTTCAAAAACACAACAATATCGTATTATGAAAAGAAATCTCTATCTCTTTTTTCTTCTTCTTTTGCTGTCTATCTATTTTCAGTAACTCGAAAATATAACATTTTGGTACTCGTGTTGTGCATAAAAAGTTCAAAGGTTTTAGCTTTATCTGCAGTTTTTAGTCACTTAAAAGTCAAATATATGTAATCCTTGTCATTCATACAATCTCAGCATTGTATTACAGTTCTATTATCAATCTATAAAACTCGTTTTCTTATTGAAATAATAATCTCAGTTATCGGTTTAGTATGATATTGCTTAACTTGCCGTTGAATTATGTAAACGGGCTGATTTTGTTATTTGGATTTATTGAAATAAATCTTGTTAAGAACAAATTGTATTTAAACATGCATTGTACAAATTAAATTAAATGCTAAAAATATACTGCACAAAAGACTAAAAATATGTTTGAAAGTTTTATCTTTGTGGCAGTGCAGGAGACCGGGGAAGAGGGCCAGGGTCATTTTATATTACCGGGACCTAACTACTTTACAGTGTATCTGTAAAGCTTTACAAGGATAAGCATATCCAAGTCTCTGGCATGGGGCCAGAATGGAATTTTTATATTGTAAAACTTCATATTTAATAACATTTGAAAACAATAACGTTAGAATTTCATACGATAAAGAAGCCGCGAGAAATGGGGGGGGGGGGGGATTCTACACACACCATCACATAACAATATTTACATGTACCTAAATGTGTAACACACCGTAAAAATTTGTCATTTAAAAACTCAGCCAGTCAAGGAATATTATGAACCAGTCGCATTTAACTGACTGGATATATAAAACTTTCAATTAATTTTACACTCCCCCCCCCCCCCCTCAGCCTAAAAAATTCTATTAATTAATCTGCCTGTTATTGATTCATAGCGACAACATATATATAATTATTTATGATTTATTTCTTAGAAAAATCTAAAATCTATTTGATATTAATTTTAAAAAATGACATATTGATTTCATTCAAAGTTCGGATAAAATTTGTTGAAATGACAATAAAATACCCGATATCTATTAATACCCAGTGTATACATGTTCTTCTAAAACCTTTTAATTTACAAAATCAAACAAAACCGTTATTATAGGACGCAGTTTTTCTCATGATTAATTAGATTTGATAGCAGTTAAGTTTCCAGTTCCAGGCATGTGGAGCTCATGATCGCTGTTTGTTTTGAAAATGACCCTGCTCATATACATGTACGTAAGGAGAGAGTTCAAGGTGCAAAAATAAATTGAGGAATTATTTCAATATTATTTCAAACCTAACCAAATGACGTATTTGGAGGTTATGGGGTTGGTGGTGGGAAGGCATCCCCCCTGCACACCTAAAATGTAGGAAGATTTTTAAAATACGACAACCCTCGTATGCTATTGAACTCATGTTAACTACAAGTATTGCATGTTTCTGTCATTTAACTTTTAACCCCCCACCCCCCACCCCCACACACAATCTAACCACTGGTCATCATGGATCTGTTCCTTTCATTTTAAATGCATGTGAATTATAGTTCATCCATTTGTTTATAAATTATCAACCTGCTTACTTAAAATTAATTATTAAAAAAATTTCCTAGATGTGTCTGAAAAAATGTGTATCATTTCAATTTTAAAAATTTAAAGAAGTTTTGTTACCACATGCGGGCAGAAGTCCTTCTAATTTTTTGTTTGAAGATTTTTTTTTTTATCGAATATTGCTTAACATGCAGTGTATCAACTTAATGCCCTTAAATTGTTGTACAGCGTATACGGTAACTCACTACATTTCACAAATTTTCTGTCTAATTATATTTAGAAAACGAAAACAAACAAACAAACAAAAAAAAAAAAACAACAAATTTTTCACTACCCAGCAGCATCTGTTTTATTGTTGTTTCCGATATTTTTTTTGAAATATTTTTTAACTTCAAATTTTGAAAGAGATATCGTTTATACTGGATTCAACCCCCCCCCCCCCAAAAAAATAAAAAATAAAAAATTGACATCTTGTCCTATCGAGAGCCATGCTTAAAATGAGAAGATTTTCGAATGAATTCTACAGGTTTCTCAAATGATTATTACATGAGATAAATACTTTGGTTTTGAGAGAATAAATTGATATTGAACAGAAGCCGCTTGCTTCTCGGGTTTTCCTGACATTCCAGCATAGTGAAATGTAAAACAAACAAACGAACAAACACTCATGATTCTATACGCCACTGCATAATGGATAATAGTTGATAAACTATTTATTATCATATTATACAATTATTAAAAGAGACAATGACTTAAAAATGTTTCTGGAAATGCTCAATAACATACATTTATTACCTAGTAACATTACAATGCAAAGTGAAAGTCATGTTTACTCTGAAAACTTTTGACGTTGGTGCGAAAGTAACATGACGTCATTGTTTACCTGTTAAAGTATCATTGATATAAATGAAGAAAAAACCTACTTAGAGTTGACGTAGGGCCGTAAAAATTCAGATTTGGCAACTTCTAACCTTGCTCCATTAATATCCATGAAAAACTTAAAATGTGTAAAAATTGCCATAAGGCCCTTTTCCCATGGGCGCAATCATTTAAAAACTTAAGTTTTAAATAATAATTAACAAGAAGGTATCGAGCAATGTTTATTTGTTATTTATCGTGCAAATCTTCATCTGCAATAAAGATTCCTATCACAATATTTGCACATCAGCTTAAGACTGTATGACACCATATCTATTTGTAGAGTAGCATGTTGTCTTACGGATCGTTGTTTACTTGTGTTTTTCATTCCCGAGACTAAAGAATCAAGATATATCCCGAACGCAAAAATCAATCATTTACAAAAGCAATTGCTGATTCATTTGGTCGAACGATGTCGATCAACTCCAATCACAACTCAAGAAAATAAAACAATTTTTAATAGCAACGTAGGCCGAAATCCTTGGCTAGCGAAGATGTGGTCGTAGCTTTTATCTTATAAGTGAGCTTGAGCTTTGTTCAAGTGACACAAAAAACTTCAGATGTCTTATTATCAAGATGTAGAAAATATGAAGTATGTAGGATTGCAATGCCCATATAAAA